CTGAGGCGGAAGGATCGCTGGAGCCCAGCAGGTTGAGGCTGCGGTGACCGGGAGCGACCACTGCACTCCAGTCTGGGTGACAGAGTGAGACTCCAACTCACAAAAAAAAAAAAGTTACAGAGTGAGCCCACAGACTGTTAAACCGCACACTCCACGAGGAGCGGAGAGGAGAGGAAAGGCCAGAATGGCATGGAAAATTCTCAGGCGCCATCAGAACAAGGCAGCCTTGGGAGGCTCCTCTTCCAACCCCCAGTCCTGGGGCCACATCCCCTTCCATAGCACCTCTGACTCTGCTCATGCCACAGAGTGTCACCAGTCCACGCACAGAGATATCTTAGTCCGTGTGACCAAGCTGCGTCCATCCCCCATCCCCACCATAACTGCCCTTGTCACATCAGTCCTTTGTCCTAAGTGCGCACATGTCACCTGTGGTGCCACTGCATTTCTGGGGAGGAAGGACCAGAGTCGGAGACCTACAGGTCTAGAAAGCAGGTCGGTGCCAGGTAGATTAACAAAACTTCCGACTCTGGTAGCTGAGTGTGGTCTAGGGGAGTGAGAATTCTATGTAGGCCCATCCCCTGGACTGTGTGGGGCAACTGGCCAGTGTGGATGCCTTTTGTTTTTTATTTTTTGAGTCAGAGTCTCACTCTGCCGCCCAGGCTAGAGTGCAATGGTATGCTCACGGCCACCACAACCAAAACCTTCTAGGCTCAGGCGATCCCTCCGGCTCAGCCTTCCAAGTAGCTGGAACTACAGGTGCATGCCCGGCTACCTGGCTAATTTTTTAAATTTATTGTAGAAACAAGGTCTCACCAAGTTGCTCAGGCTGGTCTCGAACCCCTGGACTCAGGCAGTCCTCTTGCCTCAACCTCCCAAAATGCTGAGATTACAAGCTTGAGCCACCACACCCAGGCTCACTGGACCTTCTTTGCCAGTGACTTGTGTCTCTGGGGCAGCCTGGCTGAAGGGCCATGTGGTGCCCTTTCATTCTCTGCTCGGAGGCCCCAGAAAGCTGCAAGGTTGAGTTAGTCATAGTGTTCACAGCAGCAAGGACTTGCTTCCACTGAACTCTGGGCAGTGTGAATTGAGGCTGGACATCAGAAGGAACTGACTACTGTTAGAATGAGACAAAGGCATGTGTTATGAGGGAGGCTAGGAGACAGATCACCTTTCCTGGAGATCTGCCAAACAGAATTCTTGCCTTTAAAGGCTTGGAGGGAGCTGGACGCAGTGGCTCATGCCTATAATCTCAGCACTTTGGGAGGCAGAGGTGAGAAGATTGCCTGAGTCCAAAGTGCTAGTATTACAGGCGTGAGCCACCACGTCCAGAACCACACAGCTGATCCTAGGAATCACTATCTTCGAATTCTTTTCTATATTCTCACAGATGAGTCCTCCGTGCCTGACAGGCGCATAGTAGGTGCTTAATAAACATGCAGATAATCCCCTAATCTGGGAGGAGAGACTCAGCTCTAATCCTGGTCTTTTTCCCTCCATCCCACATCTCCAATGAATCCCAGTCTCTGCGGTGGTTGTAGTGGTGCCTTCACCAGCCCCAGTGTGTGCTTTGCTTTGGGCCTGGTATGTTGCAACATGTTCCACACTAAGACGTGCAGGGGGCATTCTGGGGAGATACGCACGCGCGCACTTTATTCTGAAGCCTCATTTCTGCCCCTCCACCCACCCGGGCTTCTCCACCCTCCCTGCAGCCAGCCAGCCCTACCCTGCCAGTTTGCTGAAGTCAGGAGAAAGAATAGGGAGTTAGGCCAGGCTTGGGGTCGGCTGGGAAGTGTGTGTGTGTGTGTGTGTGTGTGTGTGTGTGTGTGTGTGTGTGTGTGTGTAGGGGGGAAGTGGGTAGAAAGAGGAGGAAGAGGAGGAAACCCTGGCCCTGCAACCCCTGGCCCAGGGCTGTGAGCTCTTTCTTCCCAAGCCATAGTCCAGCCACTGCTCTGTGTGGCAGGGTGGCCAGCAGGTGGGTGGGGCAGGAGTGAGGTATAGACAAAGGCAGGGAGGTAGGTGGAGGAGGGGCAGGCAGCAAAACAAGCAGAGGGCAGTGGCCCGGGCATGTGGGATGGTTACTAATCTGGGGTGTCAGTCTCCTCCAGGCCTTTCCCGGGTGACACAACTTCAGAATGTTCAAGCAACGGTTCCATTCTCTGAAGGGGACAGCGGTCAAGGCTGCTGTGAAGCTCCCTTCCCCCAGCTCATCTTGTGCACTAGTGTTGGGCCACAAGACTTATTTGAGGGGGGCCCTTTTCTTTCTTTCTTTCTTTTTTTTTTTTGAGTCAGAGTCTCACTCTGTCACCCAGGGTGGAGTGCAGTGTCACACTCGTGGCCACTACAGCCTCGAACTGCTGGGCTCAGGTGATACTTCCACCTCAGCCTTCCAAGTAGCTGGGACCACAGACAAGCGCCCCCACACCTGGATAAGTTTTTGAATTATTTTAGAGACAAGGTCGCGCCATGTTGCCGGGCTGGTCTTGAATCCCCTCAGGCAATCCTCTACCTCCCAAAGTGCTGGGATTACAGACATGAGCCACAGTGCCTGGCTGAAAGTTTTGAGAAGGATACATCACGATCTGTGGAAGAAACATTCCGAGTTGTGGCAAACAGGTGACTGGTTCTTCCACCATAACAACACACCCGCCCACACTGCACTGAGTGTTCAGCAGTTTTTGGCCAAAAACAGCATGACTCCCATGCCCACCCTCCCTATTCACCCCATCTCGTCCTGAGTGGCTTTTTATCTCCCCAGATGAAAAAAGATCTCATGCCGGGCTCGGTGGCTCAGCCTGTAATCCCGCGCTTTGGGAGGCTGAGGTGAGTGG